ATCAGTTATGTGGATTATTATGATTAGTATTATCATTTTTAATTAAGGTAAATATTAACATTGTTTTATGTAATAAATCTTAATTATGAAAGAATTTAATATTTTATAATTCGGAACTAAATTCATTATTGTCTAAATATTACCCACTCTATCTAAAATATATTTTCTTTAGAAAGTAGCATATTAATTTATTGATGCTACATACTTAATGCGAATGTTTCCTTTAAACACTTTTAGAAAATATGGGCAAAAAATGCCAATTATTTTTCATGCTTTCAAGTGACTTGTATTTTTCTTTATTAATATAAAAAATCAATAATACCGTATTCACAAATTTAACTTTTCAAAAATATAAATTTAAACATAAATTAAACTGACAATTCTCCTCTCATTTTCATTTGTGATTTCTATTAATTTTAAAATAAATTTTTCATCATTTTTGAAATCATTTATTTCAATAATTTGGAAAGTAATTTTAAACTCATAAGTCCGTTAAAATATCCTATGTTAATAGAGGAATATACATAAAATTGGATGGATATTGATTTTATATCTAGCAATGAACTAACTTAGCATAAATAAGTATAATTAGATATGTTCTGATATGAAAAAATGAAATGACCTATCCATCTTTAATTTTTGATCTTCTGTTTTTTTTCAAAATTAATACTATTAAAACGAAATTTGAATTTTTGAAAGTTATATATCAATTATTCCAAATTAATAGTCCTGTTTTCCTGAAGTATGTATAAATTTGAAAAATAATTCTTTCATTGAGTTTCCTTGCATTTCAACTGAATGAAGAATATCCATATTATGCCTCAAGATCAATAAATTGTTCAACTATTTTAAAATCAACTATGAGGATCCAAAGAAAAAAATATATTGGATAGCACCAATAGATATTGAATTTAGACAGAGAATAGAAGAGTTGATAAAGCTATGAATATAAAAGATTAAGTTTGTTTAAATTTAAAAAAAAAAAATTATTGATTATCTTTTCAATAGATTTCATTTTTGGAGTGGGGGCAATACGATAAAACGAAGCTTTGAAAGCTTTATGAAAAAGAATATTTTTGATTTCACTTCTTATTGATCAGAGACTTATTAGAAGTTTAAATACTTATTAGGAAGGCAATATAATTTATGATGAAAAGAAAAAAAAGTGAGAGTTCTCGAAAAGATTCATAAAGATAGTTTCTATAGTTCCATAAGTCGGCATGAGAAATAATGTCTTTAAATCAATCAAAGTTTTTCATTTCATTTTGATTCTATTATTATTTAATTAGATGAAATAATTTCAAATTCCCTTGATTCATTAACTCAATTCATGTATCATTATACTCACTCTCCATATTCTTACTAACTTAAATTACATTAATCAAGAAGTGTTCATCTATATTAATCATCCATCTTATTCCCTTTGAAATTTATATTATTTCTAAGCCAATAAAAAAGATTTCAATAGATTATGAAACAACGATTAGTTATTATTCTAAAATTTCTTTTGTTTGGTTTATCCACTGTTTTTATTCAGATAATAAATCGAACATATTTATTTTCAGGGATTTCTTTTAGACTTGTTTAGTGAGTTTTTTTTTAATTTGAAGGGTTTGTCGAATTTTGGCATATGTAGGATTTAGTAGTTCAAAAATTTGATTAAATGTAATAACAATATTTGGAGCCTTTTCCTACTGAATTTATTTCGGTCAGAAATTATCGTAAATCATATTTTAAACATAATAATGATAGTGTCTATTAAATAATTATACAAAAATTATTTAGATTCTTTATGGAAGGTATAACAGTTTTATTATCTCTTAGAACAATCGAACGATCATCTATAATTAGCAAAAAAATTAATATATGATGGAGACTACTCTTGTGCTGTAAAGCTTTTAATCATAATAGATTGAACTTTTGGAAGGAATAATTGAAAATGAATATTAAAACGTTGAGGCCTATAACTTATTGGCCTTTGCCATAAAAAATCATTTGGAGAAGTCGACTGATGCATATATGCGTAGTTTAAATATCATGCAAATAGCCTTAGAAGTAAAGTGTTTCTATTATCTAGATTTCACCAAATAATACGTTTACTCTGTTCAATATTGCTTCTACTTATTATGAGATGCAAGACTTTACCTAAGCTATAATTTATTACTAAAAACTCATTTAAGTCAATAAAGTTAGTGACTATAAAGCTTATTTTAATTTAGCTATGTGTTACGAAAAAGCTGGGGAAAATTAATAAGCTTTGGAAATGTATAAGCAAGTAAATGTATTCATCTGATAAAAGTCCATTCGAATCAATCCGAATTTCTCAAGTGCTGTTATAAATTATTCAAATTTGTTAATGCTCATGAGTAAACAAGCTCTAGCTAGATATACTTTAGAGAGCTATCTAAAAAATAATAAAGGGGATATGAGGGCCTTGAACAATCTAAATATCATATTAGCTGAAAAATAAAAAGATTAAGAAGTTGAAGAAAATTTCTTTAAAATTAATCAAAGTGGGGCCGTAATAAGTGTTTTTAATAGTGGTGTGTTTTTATAAAAATAAGGAAAACTCTAAGAAGCCTTACAAATTTTTAGATAAATAGTAAATAATCCAAAAGAGGATGTTGTACGACCACTTTTGCTATTATCTCATGTTAATTAAGGAGTATTATTTGAGAAGCTAAACAATTTTAATGCTGCAATTTAAAAGTATAATTATGTATGATTTCTCTAATTATTAGATTTTAGATAATTTTTCTAAAGAAATAAACAGTGAAGAGTTTTTATAGAGAATAGCAGTTTTAAAATAAAAAGAAAAAGAAAGATAAAAACTTTTTCCTCCAATAATCGCGAGTAAAGTATAAACATAATTGAATTCACCTCATTAGCAATAATAAAAAACTTAAGCTAAGGTAAATAATTTAAGTAAAGATATTAATAAAGTTAGTGAAATAATCTCCAGATATATATAAGAAATAATAGCCAGCCTTAGTTCCTATTAACAATAACAATAATAAAAAATAATAATAACCTGTTCAAGTTTAAAAAAACACTTAAAAATTAATTTAACGTTAACCCCGTCCCCACAGCTAAAAACAATAAAGATAAAATTAGAATTAATAATAGCAGCTTCCCCAATAATCTATAAGAAAATTAGGAGTCAAAAATATACTCAAGCAAACAAGTTTACAAGATTATTAGATTTCATCTTAATAATAATTTCATAGATTCTTTAATAATAATATCCAATAGAATCCAAAAGTTATATTGCAAATCTAGCAAGAGGACAACGAAGATGAACATATTATTATAAATTAGGATGATCAGAAGGATTAATTTTAAATATATTAAAATATAGATAATACATAGATATAAGGGACATAAAAAAAACAATAGACAGATTAATAATAATAATAAAAAAATGGAATTGTAACAAATTAAGACTATATACAATAATCATAGAATAATGCAGATTTAAAGCCACATCCAATACCTCTAGAATAATCTTAATTAATTGATAATAATCCTAACAATTAAAATAATGCTTAATAAGAACCCATTAACATGGAAGAAAATAAACCCTAAAGTATTGATGACATAAACAAACCAATAACTACAGAATAACAATAACCTGCATAAAATTAAACTGAAAAAGTCTTTTGTAAAATTCAAACAATTAAATAGATCGAAGACATCCCTTAAATAAAGGTTCAAAGTCCTCAAAGTTCCATGGAGGGAATTCAGGATAAGAACCAACCAGAAGCCTCTTTAGATTAAGTCGATTAAGTGGTAGAATAAGAATAGTAATAAGCAGTAGGGCAACATTAATATGTTGAAGAGGTAAGATCCCCGAATTAACATGTATAGGATTAAGCAAATTTACTTGTTATTTAAAAAAATAATAAAATAGTAGAATTAGAAAATAACAATGATTAGGATGAATAAAGTCCATAATAAGAATAAAATGGTTCAGAAGAACAGGATGGAATATCTTCTGATGGTTATGGATTGTAAGAACCTAATAATGAAGGTGTTTATGATGAAATTTTGGAATAGCCTACTGAGGTTCTATAAGTCCCAGAAAGTCAACCCAAAACAATGGTTTATTAGAATTCAAATAGACTTGAATCTTAACCTTAATAAGAGTTGCAAACGTAGGCAAAGCTGGGTCATAGTTATACATAATAGTTTGCTGAAACACAAAAGAAGATTGCAAAGGTTATTAGATACCCTGAAAACTTTGAAGATTGGACAATAGAAGATTGTTTAAGAAGAATAGAAGAAGTCCCTAATGATATTTTTCCTGTGTTCAGATTAGCTATACTCTATTAAGATGATTAAAAAGAAATAGCCAAGCAATATCTTTTAAAAGTAACTGAAATGGACCCATTATTTGAAGCCGAAAATGTAAATTGGGCTTTAGGAACATTTTTTGTCTCCGAAAAAGAATGGAAAAAAGCTTTACATCATTTTCGTATATGCTACCAATATAGTTAAGACAGGGTTAAATCATATTTAGAAATAGCTAGATGCTATTAAAATTTGGGGGAGGTTGAGAAAGCAGAAAAAACTTATAAAAGAGCCATTGATGCCAATAATAAAGATTATTTACCTTATTATAAGTTGGGATAGATGCAAATAAAGAATAAATAATTAAAGGAGGGTATTGATAATTTATCAAAAGCATAAACCCTTGATTATTAGAATATGGACATCATTATAAAGTTAGGAGAAGCTTTAATGATTCATGATGAAGATCCTACAGCTATCGATTAGGCTGTGATCGTTTTACATAAAGGAATGATAGTAGACCCATTAAATTAAGAATGCACTGATGCGCTGGCTAGAGCATATGAAAAGAAAGGAGACTTAGACAATGCTATTAAATATGGAAAGTTAGCAACGGAACAGCCAAATTCAAATTAAAACTCGCATTATTATTTAGGAACTTTATATTTCAAAAAGAAAGATTTAAAAAGTGCTGCTAAATCTTTTATAACATTATTGAGAATAAATAATAAGCACCCAGAGGCTCTAATTGAATATGCGACAATTTCAAGCATCTAAGGTAATTTCGAAAAAGCAAAAAAGTATCTGAAATATGCATTAAAGGTCTCTCCAAATAATCCAGTTGCAAATATGAGATTAGGATTAATTTATTAAACTAAATTATAGGAATTAAATTCAGCAATTGAATGCTTTTAATAAGTTGCTATAGTAGATCCAACAAATTATAAAGCTTATTACTATATGGGCTAATGTTATTTTTAGAAAGGAGAACTAGATGAAGGAATAGAATATATGAATTAGTCTTTAAAGCACAATTAATCTTTTGGTCTAGCATGGAAAGCTGTTGGTAATATTATGTATGAGATGAATCAGCCAGCTACAGCTCTAAGATATTTCTAAAAAGCCATAGATTTAGATAAAAATGATATGGAAGCTAAGATTAGACTGGGCAATTGTTATTATTTGCAGGATCAATTTGAATAAGCTATTTAGATTTATGAAGAAATAAGTCATTTAGATCAAAATGAAGAATTAGAATAGCATATGGCAAATTGTTATTACAAGAAAAATGATTTTGAGGAAGCAGTATTGCATTATTAGAGAGCATTAAGCATAAACTCTGATAAAATAGAATGTTATTATAATTTAGGAGATACATATTTTACTATGGAAAAATTTGAAGAAGCCTTAGAATGCTTTGAGAAAGTGGTTAAGAATGATCCTTAACATTCAGCTGCCTTCTATAATTATGCAAATACATTCTTTGTTTTAGAAGATTATGAGAATGCGGCTAAATACTTTGAAAAGGCCATTGAGTTATAGCCTCAAAATGTTGATTGGAGGTATTTTTAGATATAAATTTTAAGGAATTATGTAGCTTAGTTATATATAAAGAAATGTGACCTTAATTAAGCGAAAAGACATTTAGATGAAAGCATTAGGTTGTAACCAAACAATCCTGACACCTTAGCTAAATATGCAAATTATTATTATCAAATAGGAAACTATTAGGAGGCTCTTCAAAAAGCAAAGGTATTAATAAACTATAATTATAGTAAACCTTGGTATTGGATGAAACAAATGACTAAGCTAAATCATTAATTTAAGAACTTACTAGATGATAATTAATAACATAAGAAATTTCTTTATTCTTAATATTATTTAATCAAATTTTATTTTATTTTTAATTCAAATTATCATAATCTAATATACAATCTATAGTTTAAAATTCTTAATACTAAGTTTAATTTTTGCATTTAATCTATCAGAAAAATGTCATGCAACTACCTGTCAAATAATATTGTTTATGATTATAGTTTAGGCATTTTTAATTATGCAGAATATTAATGATAATATTATGATAAAGTTGTTTAGTGTACTAGAATATATTTTCAATGAATTAAATTAGTATTAGCAAAACATTATGATTAAAATTTTATTGAATTTAGAATAAAAATAATGTGATATATATTGATTTGAGTATCATAATTTTAGTGATTAAACTTTTATTAATTATCCTTATTCTATATGATCTAATCATAAAATTGTATAAACAGCTTACTAATCGTCAAGTCCTCACTTGCCTTGCATAAATTTCTTAATCCATTCTTCCATTTTACAAAGAGTCTTTACATAATGGACATTTAGCAATATTAAATCTCTAATGATTATTAATCTTGGGTCAATACATTATGCTTAAGACTATCTTTATCAATCTACTCATACCTTTATTATAAGGGAACCTTTTCTAATACCTCCCCTTATTTATTATCGTCTCTCTGCTTAACCTTCTTCCAAAACGAATCTGAAATAGAAAGAACTAATTGAATTTACTATTTTTCATTCATATTCTCTTCCGATGTTATATTATCCTCTCCTTTCCATCCTTAACTTTATCATTCTCCTTTTTCCTCTAAGATTTTTCAATACATTCCTTCAAATTACTTCTCACAACTACTTAATCCCTCTCCATATAGATATTCCAAGATCTCAAAATATGACATACTTAGCCATAATTAATGCAAAAAGTTTGAGTCATTAATCATGATATTATATATCGAGTTTGACTTCCTATTCTCATTTATCTTAATTAGCTTCCTTGAAGGGAATTCATCCTATGAGTATATCGTTATCATAGCATTGTAGCTTTCCTTAAATGCTTTAATAAGTTCATTATAATTTAAATTCTGTTCAAGTTTGATTGCAAATTTAGATCTTTTTTGATGACTTTCTAAATCTTTATTTTACAAAAGATTTAAAAGTATACTCATATTCCATTTTAGTCACATTTACCTTTTGGCGATTATTACTGGGACTCCTAAAATTTTGTACTTAACCAACCAATTTAGAAAATTTGAAAGTAAAAATAATTATACAAAGGAAATAAAATTAACTATGATGAGCAAAATAATTCAATAATTAAAAAATAATTAATATTAGTTCAAAAGCAAAGCTTGCTATAACAAAACAGATAGCAATAATATTAAATAGAAAATGTTAAGAGAAAAAAAATTGCAAAACAAAAAATAAGGAGTTGGAGCAGAGAAAGTTATGCAATTTGGATAATCTTTAATAGAGTCATTATGGTAGTTTCTAAATAATAATTTCGCTTTGATTTGAGTAAAAATTGCTTACTTATTGATGCCATCTTTGAGCCTTTACAAGATATATAGTATGAGCTTGCTCAGGATCAAACTACTGAGACTCCGTCCTTCACTCTGTGGTGTTATGTTTGATTTTAGTTCAGCAATTATTTTTTGATTTTTTTTCCTCATAACATCAACAGTTATCTTGAATTATAAGCCCTCTTTTTGATTTCCTAGATTCGAAATTTATAATTCTTAGGATAATTATTTAAATGTTAATCAAAATTTTTTCTTAATTTGTCCTACTTCCCTATCAGTCTTCATTGCTATAGTCTCCTTCATTGAACTTATTATTTAGTGCTACAAAAATATCTTAATCCTGTATTTCTTCCAATAAATGTATCTAAATAAAGAAGTGACATATTTGTTTTGAACATGCATAAAATTAAATCATTCTAAGTAATAATAAACTCATCTTCCATTTTGGATGACTGAATGAAGATTTAGTTCAAAAATTTTGAGAACATTAGTTTTCTAAGTTTTATTAGGGTTGCTTACCTTTTAGATGTTGAGATCTTAGTTTCTAAAATATTTATTAAAAAGACCTTAAAATTTGCATCTTTTTTTCTTAAATCATATTTCATATAAACATTTAAATAATTAGATGACAATTTAGTTAGAAATAATATTAGTCTATATATTTATTGACAGAGCAAAAATGCAGAGACTGAAACCTTTTTCTTTTGTTAAAGAAATCACATTACATATATTTTGCTCCTGCTTTATGAGGAATTGTTTCTGTTATTGCAGAATAAATAAGTCCATCTTAAACATTCTCAAATCCTAAAAGATTTTGAATCTGAATTTATAATATCTGACAATTTGATTCTAAGCTCTTATCATTTAATAGTTGAAAAATACTAGAAGCTAGTATGACTTATAAATTAACTATATTTAATTAGGAAGAAAATGAAATATGTTATCGATATATTTATTGGATCCTCATATTCTATGATGATATTATCAAGCTTTAAAAAGATTAATTAGTCTAAATTTATAGATAATGTTAAATTCATCTATAAATTACTGAATTATATAAGATTTATATTTAGCTAAATAAGTCGAACCAAACCATAAAAAGGTTGTCGATATTTTTTTCTCAAAATTATTAAATCTAATAATTATTTCATATACTTTTTCTAATCTAAAAAATAAAGTTAATTTACTATCAACATATTTAATTATTGTATGAAATTATTTATGATACTTATTGTTTTGGTATTTTCAACTCCATCATCTGTGATTTATGAGTTTAATGCAAATTCCTAAATAAATGATGGTAATTTATTAGAATTTTTATATAGGATGGGTTATTAGAGATAATGACTGTTTTTTTTATAATTGCGGAGGGATTTTTTATTTTGGCTAACCTCTTAATGATGATAATCCAATTTGGATTAGCAGATTATTTTCAAATCTACAAGACCATTCTCACATTTTAGTAGAGGCTAAAGTTTTGAGGTAATGAAATTTAATTATTTCAAAAGAATGTATACCTCTGATCCTTTTGTCATTGAATTAGACTATATTACAGCTCAATAGTCACTCACTACATCTTCATCTACAAGTTCAGTTTGCTCCGGTTCATAAGTATTTACTATAACTACAGCCCTTTTTAAACA